CATTCCACATGCGTAGTCGGAAATTCGTATCTGCCCTCAGAGATAAAAGTCGGAATGACTTCATGAAGCATGACACAAAAATCTGAACATTTCATGATTCATTTGATTTTTTCTATTATCAAGTATGATGTTTGATTTAATTGTGGTGACTATGATACAATATTTTCTTAATAAATAAATTATTTTCATAAAGAATGATAGGACTTTGATATGACCATAAAATAAGTATTTATGATATAATTACTCAACTTTTAAATTTTAAGATATTATTTAAATATTATTTTCCTTACTAAACATATAAAACTCACTCTTTCTATACCACCTCCAGATGAGGAAGATAGTGAGGAACCGTCCGTTGATCTACCCCTTGAAGTCTATAATGATCCTGTGAATCTACAAATTTTGAGTGCATGATTTGTTTTCGTACTTTGATGAGTCCAATAACATAATGATAGAAGTGGCCTTTTTGGTTTTTTGATATTTTATATTTTGTAGCCACTTCTAACCTCAATTATATACATGTATTTAAAACTTACATATTTTTGTAAGAGATTTATATTAATTTATTTCGTTGCATTTAATTTCTATCATGCACTCTAAATCTATATCTGTATCTGGCTCCCTCATGTCGTAATTAGTATTTGGGATGTCACACTAAATTTGGGAATAAATATAAAAAAATAAAAGAAGCTAAAGTTATAATTGCCCACTAAAAAAAAAGTTATATTTTTTTCAACAAATTATCAAATTAGTTCCGGATATTTGACACTTAGTATAATTTAGTCTTTAATATTATTTTGTTAAATTTGGTTCATAATATTTTTATTTGTTTCGAACACATAGTTTTCTTTCGTGTTCTAACAAAAAAGTTAAAATTTGTTATATTATATTTTGGATACTTCAAAAAATAGTTTAAAGAAATAATAATGATTAATTACTTAATAATAATATTATGTCTATTTTTTATTATTATTGATTTATTAATTTAATTAATCAAAAACTTTTTGAATTATTTTTTAAAGTATTTAAAAATAATTTATTCATTTTAGATTTTTGTTAGGAAATAGAAAAAAAAAACTGTACATTTAAAAAATAATAATAATAAGAACCAAGTTGTTTATAAATGTCAGATTTTTACGGACTAATTAATAATTTTGAAGGCGATGGGTAAATTACTCATCAAAGGTTCTAACTCTTTAGAAAATTAACATATTTCCCAATGCACAAATATTCTACTAATTTTTTCTTCAAATATCTTATAAGTTATGTAAGTATGATAATAGTTGTATATACGCCAGCAAAATTCAAGTTATTTTAAAAAAAAAAAAAATCGAAAAAAATTGTTTTATATTAAACTATTATATAGATTTGTTTGTTAACTATTTATAACTTCATTAAAAGTTTTATTAATTTTTTTTAACTATTTCATAACGTATATTATTAGTAATCAAATCATTAAAAACATAAAAATTAGAAAAGTTGATTATTCTCTTCTTATTTTTTATTGAATTTACTTTTGACATATATCATTTGTCTTTTTACCGTCTTCATTATATATTATTATGAAAGAAATATTTGTTTAATTTTAAAATATGTGATGTTCAAATAATATTTAACATAATATATGCTCTTATTACCTAACCATTAAATTAAGCTCTCAGATAATAAAATTACTCTATCCTCTCTCTTATTACTATATTATTATCCTAATAATTTTATTAAACATACAAAATATATATATATATATATATATATTTTGTCCTTTTCCTCTCCCTTCCCTCTCTAGATCCGAAGTTTACTTTATGTTATTTGCTATTCCCAGTGAAGTAAGGCAAAAGACCATGTAAGAAAAGTGAATCAGAATTAACATTTTGACTCAAAATTCAAGAATTTCATTTGGACATTTTTTTGTCAACAATTACTCAAAATACATATTAATTTATAAAAGCACTACTTTTTTTGGGGGGTTATGTAAGTTTGAGACATTAAAAAGTTTTCTTCGTTTAAAAAAAATATATATATTATTGTAAAACCCTAAGAGAGTTTGTAACTCTAGACCATAAATAAAACTAAAACATATATCCGCCGCCACAACTCGGTGCAAATCCACCTCCCACCATTCTCCTTTCTTTATCTCTCTCTATATATATATATAACACCATATATACCCACCCACATACCCAAATCAAACCGTCTCTCTCCTGAAAACCAAACCATCTTGGTATATATAACACTATACATTTTTATGGGCTTCACTGGTTGGGGGAAGATCATCATGTCAAGCAACAAAAATGGAGGTGATGATGATGATGATGAACCCAGAAACCCTAGCAGTGCATGCAGCAGGATGAGGACGAGTAGTAGTGGATCAAACTGTTGGTGTTCATATCTGAGAAAGCTAGTGAAAAGAGTGAAAAGACAAGGCAAAATGTTATGCAGCAACAAGCCGCGCAGCTCTTTCCAGTGCCGCTATGATCCCTTGAGCTATTCCTTGAACTTTGACACTACCACTGCCTGTGCTGCTGCTAATTTCTCCTCCAGATTTGCTATAGACCCTAGAAAATCTCCTTCCTCAACCCTTTTTCCCAGTTCTCCCTAGCTTTGTATACACCCTAGCTACCTACATTTTTCTTCTTTAATATCTATCTACTAACAAAGGTTATTTCAGCTGGTTTGATATATTTCGGATATTTTTAATTTATTAAAATTTTTAGTTTTTAGGAGTAAAATCTTAGTTCACCGGATCCATCGAAGAGTGCATTTGACGAGAAATTTAAGTCTAGGTTTCCAAAATACTGCTAGTTCCTTCTTTTTCTAGAGAAAAATTCTTCATTTGCAGTGCTGGTATGTTATTATTAATTAGGTTTGGATCAATGGGCATTGCTTTGTTATATTTTGGTATACATGTTATTTTTGTTTCTTAATTAGATAAGAAGGAGAAACTAATTAAATAACATTATTTTCTCTGGTATACGTATATATGGAGTTCATATATCACCATTGTCATAGATGGGTGTATATATATTTGTAGTTTCTAATTCATCATCACTACCAAGCTATTGCCAAAAAAAAAGGTATTATATCCACAGACCAGTTTCTTCAAGCACGTGAAGATCTGATTCTTTAATTAAATTATATGTATCTTGAAGTTTGGGAATCCAAAGAGATTGATCCATATGTATATACATGTAGTTCTAAATTTTTATATATTCTTCCCATTGTTTAATCATATGTATATAATAAATAAATAAATAAATAATCAATAAGAAATCTACATCTTATGTAGGTTCAAAATGGGAAGACAGATGTTTGTCAAAGAGTTGAATCCAATGCCCTTCGAATACTGAGAAGTCTAACATTAAATAAATGTGGAGTCTTGAAGAGAGAGATCAGATAATACGGTATACATGTAGTGGGAAATAAAATATTTATGAACAAACAGAAATTCTGAAAAGTGGGTCAGATTATATATTTTAATTCAATTTTATTTAAATAGGAAACAAATTGGCGCTGAGGGGAGAAAGGAAGTGTATGTATCGATCCAATTACTTTTATATTTTATTTTATTTTATTTTTGCATGGGTTTTGGCAAATGCATAAACTCGTTGAAGGGTGGTGTGTACAACGGTCATCTCATTGACCATGCCCAACTGCCACCGCTTCTTGCCTAAAATTATAAATAAATAAACCATTAAAATGCAAAAGCACGTGCATCCATTATGTTATATACATACACACACACATGTAACGTTATATGATAGGTGGCAGTATATAAATTATATATACTTTTCCTTTAAACAACATAAATAGTTAAAAGAGAAATAATTTTATTATTAATAATATAATCAGTTATTACAAATTTTTTTTTTTTTTTTTTGTTACAGTTGTTGTAACAAGTCCAACTTGAAATTAAATTCTATGAATATTTTTTTTTTTAATAAATATGTATGAATTTAAAAACGTAGAATTCGTAATTTTAAGAGTATATTATAAATTAGTGATGATTAATATTTAATTTAATAAAAATAATAACATAATTAACTACCATGTTGTTGAGACTGTAATAATTAAATTTTGACAAATTTATTATATTTTTTAATAAAATGAATATTTTGTTAAAAATAAATTTTTTTTATTTATAATAATTGCAATAAATTAAAAAAGAGACTTAGTAGTATTTTCTATTTTTAAAAGAAAAAAATAAAATAAAATTTCATAAATATACAAGATCATAATTTGTCTTTCCCAATATACCCTTCTTCTATAAACCATTGGTTATATACATTAAATTTTAAATTAACTTTAATCACTGCTTGGGCTTTTATACTGACTTGATCTTATAGCTATATATATATGGTGGTTTCTTTGCTTTTCGTGGCCCAAAGGCTTGTGAAATCTCTTGTTTAAATAATATTTTTCTTTTATAAAAATATTACTTTAAACCATCATAATTCATCTTCGCATTCTGTCAGTTTTTAGTGCATTTTAATTTGTTTACTGAAGAATGAAATATTATTAGAAAAGAGAGAACGAAAAAAAGTACCAAGTAAAGTTGAAATAAATTCTCTAAAAAAACCTCTGAAACAAACAGGAGTTAAAATAAAACAAATGGAAAGGAAAAGTTCACTAACAAATATCTCACCAAAAAAATCTCTTGATATTCACATCCACCTCAACATGAATCCCAAACAAAGGGAGATAAATTCAGAGGGAACTTTGATAATGTTTCATATCTCACCAAATATTGTTATCATACTCTGACGAAAAGAACCAAAAAAAGAAAAACTGAAGAAACAGGGCCCTTTCACTTTTTTCATTTTAAAAACAAACTACCAGGAAGAACAAGAAATTTTCACCATAAAGGAAAGAACTTTCTGTCGATCTTCATTGCCCATCAAAGAACTCATTTTAATGTTTATGAAGAACTATACAACCCCATTATATTTTGCTGGGTGCTCAATTCTTGATGCATTTGAATCAAATTCAAAAGGAGAGGCAGATTTCAAATCGTTCTGAAATCACGGATTCTCTTGGAACTTCACTCGGGTGACTTGAGGATCGGAAAGGAAACTCAGCATACAGGAAAATACTCATCAACTGTTCAAAGCCTACATAAGTCTCGTGGACTTTGAGACAAAGGCCGCAAAAATCAATATCAATGAAATGCAACGCTATATATATATATTTCATTCTCTTACACAAAAGCTTTACACAAAGAGACATATACCTCCTACCCCATCCTATATGCCTACTTCACTCAGCTGCATCATTCCTAACAAAAATTCGAGCACATCATCCAAAAGCCTGGAACCTCACTTGCCTTGAAACCCAGAAAAATATATTGTTCTGCCTCTTCCTCCATGTTACAGCTATTGTTCTTGGTCAGTCAAGGGGTGATCAGACACAGTCCCCTCTGAGGATATTTCTTCAACATCCATCTGCTCTGGCCTGGACGGATCAGACTGAGTCTTACTGGAATCCTTACTGTCATGCTCCTCCACTCTTTCCTCAGAAAGTTGACGCTCAATATCAGGAGGGCTCAGCTTAGGCATTGGTTTCTCAAGAGCAGCTTCAGTTTCTGGAACTCCAACTTGATCAACTGATTTTGGCAAAGGAACCTTGGTTTCTAGGAAGCTTGAGCTTGTCTTGCCTGAAACTGGGGGCAAACTTGTGCCTGCTGCAACACAGGATGCTACCAATTGAAGGACTTCAGGCGAAGGGGACAAGCCCATGCTTGTTCTCTTTGGTGGGACCTTATATGCAGATGAAGATGATGGGTCCACCATATTCAAACTGAGAGGAGCCATGTTCAGGTCCGGTTCAACCCAAGGATGTCTTGATGTTCCGCTAAATGATTGCGGAAGAAACTGAAATGGTGGAGCCAATGGAATCAAGCTCGATGATGGATTGTCACCATGTAGGTAGCTTTGTAGGTTCTGGCTGCTTCCAGCAAAATCTGACAGGGCATGCATGGATGATTGTGACTTCCGTTTCTTTTTCTTCTTTAGACTTCGTCTCGGATCCTTTGGTTCAGGCGGGGGAGGACCTGGTATCACAAAAGGGGGAATTGTAGGCTTATCTTCCCCATACAGTACACGGACTGATTGAGCTATTGCTGAAACAGTTGGTGGGAGGTCTGGATCTGGTGATTTGGCAGGAGCACCTACAGCTTCTCTTAGCCAGTGCGGCAGCTTGTTCTCTGAAGAACTTCCAACTATCTCTTTTCCCTTTGAATGGCAACGTTGCAACAGTTTCTTTTGCTCAGGGCGCAGCCCTGAACCGGTGGATTCACCACTACCAAGATTATTCTGGGAATCAAACAACCTGGATGATGGTCTATCTAGAAGACTAGGCAATTTCCCACACTTGCTAGCACTACATTCATCTTCCTTTCTCTGTATATCCAAGCTACTAGGGCATTTCAAACCTAGCGAACCAAAGTTACTTGCTCCAAAGGAGTTAAGTAGAAATGGCTTCTCAATGGGAATATTTCCTGATGTCCCTGGTCTATCAGAGGAGCCTGCAGAAAGATCTCCAAAAAAATTTGAACCAAACCTTTCGGAACTCCAGGATGGGATGGGTGGCAAATGCTCATTATGCAAACCAAGTTGATCAGATGGTTCAAAAGATGGGAGGCCGGAAGCCAGATCACCAAAGCCCAATTTCATGTCTGTCAGGTGGGATTGAAATTTTGGCAGCATAACAAATTTGCCTCCATGTAAAGCCCGCGTCATCATTCCCTCTGGAATACCAGGAAAAAATGAAGAGTTAGTTGACTTAGTATGCTTGCTTGCTTTTGACCCTGGAAGAGCTGAACTATCTAAAAGTTTATTTTGTTCCTCCTCCCACCGAGCTGCTAAATCCTCTGAAGTCTTGTACCTTGAGAATTTTAACCTTTGGTCTCTAAGCATTGCCTCCCAATTTCCTCGGCCATGCCTACGAACACCAATCCAGAGGAAATCAAGCTCATCTTCAGACCATCCATCCACTTTTGTTTTCTTTTTATATAAGTGGCTTGATCCAGAACCAGTCCTCATCATTATATTTTCAAGCAACTTCCTGTGGTTTTCAGGAAAAGATGAACATGTAGATTGCATCTGACCCAATCCCAATGTAGGAGGGGCTTCCCTTTCTTGCCGATTATACCCAGTTCCATCCTGTAAGGGAAACTTCAAATTGGGAATCAATGGCATTGCCAGAAGATCTTGTATAGAGTCATTTGTTCCTTCAAGTCTACTCCCTAGTGATAGGATTGGCAACAAGTCACGCTGTGGAGTCGCAATACTTTTAGCTGGAGGGAGTAATCTAGGCAATAATGTCTCATCAAAAGGCAAGTTAGACAGTGACCTTCTTTCTTGCAAATCAGCAAAAGTTGCCCCAGAACTTTCGAAACAATCAGATCCTCTTCCTTGTGGAACAATTGGAGGATACTGCAAACCAGTAAATACTACAATCACTTCCAGACACAAACCTATATGTTTTTTTGGACGTGGAAAGGAAGAGAGATAGAGAGAGAGAGAGAGTACCGGAATAAATGGAAGACAACCATTTGGATTCATATTCTTCAGCCGCTGTTGCAGAATTTCTGCTGATGCATCTTGTGAGATCAATTTGTCCGAGGTTATCCCCTGGGCTTCTATCTCACTTGAGACTCCAGAATTGGGAGCTAGACTGAAAGGGAACTCTAGCCCAGCTCCTGGCCTGCTCTGCCTGGCATTAGACCTTGAAATGTTTCTGTGGGATGATTCCAACGGACTGGCATTTGGGGCACATAGCCCTAGAACTGGTAGTAAGTTGTTGGAAGGAAGTAAATTTGTGTAGCCAGTGCCTTGGTGATGTTGATCTGGAAGCATAACATCAGGAGAGGAACGGATAAGAGGATTAACAGAAATATCAAAATAACTGCCCATTCTATGCTTTGGTAGCCTGCCAAGCCTTAAAGTCGAGTCAGCCTTGCTCTTTGGTGCATCTATTGGCAGAGTGGGTTTATTATCCTCCAAGTCAATTACTGGAGATTTGTCTTTGTCATCTTGAACTGACTCTGTCACATGCTCGCCATTTTTCACCCTGACAGGAAACTCAGGGAGTGAATCAGTGCCTGGCAGTAAACCACTACGCCAAGATTCTTCAATCAAGCTCCTTTTAGCAAGCCGCTCCTTTTGTCTAGCACGGAGCTTAGCACTGTTTAACAAAAATAAGCATGTAAAGTAGTGCATCTATAAGCCAAATATTGAAGAATCAAATTTATACTTTTTCTCCAGTTTAAAGGATAGCTTCTAAAAAGTTAAGGCATTATATGTGTTTCTCTAGCTTAAGGGGTAGCCTCTACAGAACTTAGATATTAAAGCTGACCCTTTTATTTTCTATTAAAAATTTGGACAACTGTGTAATTAACGGATAACAAAAGTGCCAACAGACACTCTTGACCCCCAGAGCAGTCTCATAAATTTGAGGCATTTTGTCGCTTGGCAATGTGCAGCAACTTGGGCCACCAAATTTACCCTAGGGTTCAGTGGTAATACTATCAGCAGTAAATAATCTAAGAATCACAAAATAATTTACTAATCAAATTCCTTTCCTTTCTTTCTTTTTCTTTTTGTTTTAAAGAAATCAGGCTCCTTTTCTCATCAATCTGTCATTAAGAAATTCATCAGAATAACTTGCCAGCCAAAACGAATCTATATACTCAAAATAGCCATTATCACCAATGCAAACCTAGATCAATGATAGTGAATATCCCAAAGAGAAAGAAAGGAACTCACAACTTTGCTTTAAAAGCCCGTCCTGCCAGTGTATATTCCCTCTGTGGTTCTGGCTCTGGCCCCCTTTCATCTTCGCCACCACTCTGCTGTGATACAAACACTTAGAACCACCATGAATAAACTATATAAGAAAAGTAAGATAGATGGGAGGTATTCAACTTTGAGTGTATATTCTCAATGAGGTTATGAGCAACAAGTTAAATTTTGCTCAAAGGTCCTACAACGAGTTGAAGATGTAGTTCCACGTTTATGTAAGTAAGTATCTTTATGTGCTGATAAATGAGAATGGTTTGACTCAAGCTAAAAGAACATAGAACAGGAGGAAATGCCAACAAAAAAAAAAAAGAAAACAGTTCGTAAAAATGCAGGGAAGAAATTGCAATGAAACAATTAGTTCCTTTGCTCTTTTACTGCAGACAAAAAGTTGCAAGGAATGGCAATGGAATAACCTCCACCTAGATTCATTATATTGCCCCACATAATCCCTTGGCGGCTACTGTAGCAAGATAATTAAAATTTCAGTCTGACATCACTAATAATTATCAGATTATCAGAAACTTCTGCCCCTTCTTTCACATCCAAGTTCATCCAGAAATTAGTGGTAGACATTTCCAACAAAACCAACAAAAACTTAAAGAGATATAGGGTGTCAAAAAAACCAAAAAAAAAAAAAAAACCAATTATTGACCAGAAGAAAAATATATGTACATTTGAAAGCTCTCTCAGTCTTTCAGAAGAAGTGCAACAGAGATGCTAGAACATAAAGTAGTGCTAGGCATATAAGGATCATATTGCAGTGCCATCAAACATAATATGCTCATAAGCATCAGAAAGATGGTTGCTTGTCTATAGAAAGAAAAACATACCTCACTTAATGCTTCACTTGGATGTGGAGCATAAGCTTCCCTATAAGAAACAGCTTTCCTCTGGCGCTTCCCTCGACCAAGAACTGCCTCCTCCTCACTCTGATATTTCTCCCACCTAAGAACCCAAAAAACCTTATGAGAAAATCTTTAGATAAGAATGCCACACCCCAAGACACTCTTGGATAACATCCAATTTCCATATAGAAAAATTATGTAGTTGAAGAATCTTTTATTATAAGGCAGATCTGTTCACAAGTTAGCATATCTGTTCATTCCAAAACTTATGACAGCCACAAATAGCAGCATGCTTTTTATTTATTCTTAAAATTCCTCCACAAAGATACGTTGCATCTATTATTTTGCTATTTATTCTAACAAACATATTTACAGAAGAAAATAACCTTCCTTCTTGGACAGAACTTTCATACAATTCTCTAGGAATTTTAGGTGAGGAAGATGTGTTCCTACATGGACAAATGTTATCATTTTTAATTGACTGCAGTTTAAAGATGAGGTATTGCTGACTAGTCAAAATTATTTTTACATTGTGCCACTGTCCTATTATATCTTTTTTAGGACCCCAAATAGAGTTTCCTTTTGGCATGTGCTTCTACTTGGATAATCTTGTCATTTTCAATTGACTACAGTAAAGATTACAAGTTTGATGTTTCAGATTCCTTTTATGTTGTCCCCATTGTTCAAAGTGATCAATTTTCAGGCCATAAATAGAGTCTACTTCTGGCCAAGCAAGGTATACCTGTTGCACATTGTCCTTAATCATTACAGTACCAAAAATATTTTTTAATTGCAACTTATTCAACAACCAAGATTTAGATAAAATGAAGATGCAAAGAAAATTTGAGAACAAGTTAATGCAAGATGATCTCTCTTTTATAAAAAAAGATTTTATTCAGAAAGAAGAGAGAAAATTACATCAAAAGACAATAAGTTAATCCTCCGTGAGATACAGAAAAAACCCAAACCCAAAAAGAAAGAGAGAGGGAGAAGGAATGACAAACAAACAGAAAGGCTACATTTACTTTCAGAGTTAATGCAAGATGATCTAGTTACCTCACTCGCAAAAGTCTGTCCCATTCATTTTCTTCAGTAATATTTACTGCATTATATTCCTTCCTTTCAGAGTTTTGTGCAGTAACATCATCAGTAACAACAGGAGGTGATTCCCCCCCCTGTTCTTCGGTTGTTTCTTCATTCCATTCCAAGGACTGTCAGCAAAAAATGGAGAAATGTACAACTTAGTTTTTCCCAAGTATTGTCACACAGTGTTAAAAGTACAATTTTCTCACTGAAACAAGAAAATAAAAATAAAAAGAAATTGCAAAATCAGTTTGCCAATTTTAAGAAAAAGGTTTCAGCTAACAAATTGTTGTCTTTTGCCAAGGAAAAATAATTCTGGAGAGCACCAAGGGGAATAAATCTTAGTAAAAAATTCATAATATTCCCAATTCAATATATTTAAAACTATACTAGAAAAGCTTTCATTTGGCAATTCAATGCTATAGAGATGCAACAAGTGATAGTTTCTTAAACAAGGTTCAAATATGAGTGCATCACATTGCAGGTTTTGCATTGACTCGACTTAATGGTACTGCATTGTTTATTTATTCATTCAGATTCAATCTCTCACCTTTACAGAGCCAAGCATATCATTCTCCAAATCTCCTTCTGCGCCATCACTAGACCCAGACTGAAGATTTGACCGGTCAAGCAATTTTAAGATTGCACTTTCATCCCACACAATCTTTCCACTTCCATCAGTACATTTGTCCTGGTAAACATCTCCCAGACCACCACCCTTCTTCCTGTGCTTGTATTCTATATCTATTATTACCTCTTCTTTATTGCTATTATTTTCACCTGCATCTTTCCCATTCATGCCAGGAGAATCATTAAAAAGTTCCTCTGTTCCCCATCTTAGAATATCTTCCACTTCTTTCTGTGACCCAGACTTGTTCACAAAAAGTTGATCAAGCATCAGCTTCTTTTTTGCAAGCTGCAAGATGCGCTCTTCAACACTGGCACGAACAACAAGCCTATAGACTAAAAGTCGATTTGACTGACCAATTCGATGGGCCCTATTCATTGCTTGGATATCAGCATGAGGATTGAAATCAGAATCATAGATAATGACAGTATCTGCTGTTGCCAAGTTGATCCCAAGGCCACAAGAGCGAGTGGATAACAGGAAGACAAACCGACTTTTATCTTGGTTAAAACGTGCTATTGCTGCCTGACGATCAGCCACTGCAACAGAGCCATCCACTCTCTCATATGTTTTAGGCCCAAATTCTATAGTCAAGTAATCCTCAAGAATGTCAAGAAGTTTGGTCATCTGTGAGAATATCAGAACTCTATGACCTTCTTTGTACAGCACCTTAAGCATAGAATGCAGCAGAGTCAACTTAGCTGAAGCTTTAATCCGCATTTCATGGAGAAACTCCAATGATCCAGATTCTGGCTCAGTGCCTGGTATGAGATATGGATGATTGCAAACTTTTCTTAACTGCATCACAATGTTTAGCATTGATTGCTGCGCCACCCCTTTTCCAATATTTCGTAATATCTGATAGTTCTTTGTCAGCATTGCACGATAATATTCAGCTTGGATGGACGACAAGTCAACAGGAACCATTCGTTCAGTCTTTGGTGGGATATTTTGCATGGCATCTTTTTTAAGCCTTCGCAGCATGTGCGGAGCAACAAGTTTCTTCAGTTCCTCCACTTTCTCAGCAGTTGTAAGATCATTAAACTTCTCCTCGAATGAAGATAGAGAGGGGAAAGAAGATGGCTGCAAGAAATTAAGCAAGTTAT